CTGAAGTCAGGAGTTTGAGACCAGGTTGGCCAACATGGTGAAACCCCATCTCTACTAAAAATACAAAAAATTAGCCGGGAGTGGTGGCACACACCTGTAGTCCCAGCTATTTGGGAGGCTGAGGCAGGAGAATCGCTTATATCCGCGAGGCAGATGTTGCAGTGAGCCAAGATCATGCCACTGCACTCCAGCCTGGGCAAAAAGATCAGCCTGGGTGACGGAACAAGACTCCATCAGCCTGGATGATGGAGCAAGACTCCATCTCAAAAAAAAAAAAATTTTTTTTTTAATTCAGAAATGCAAATTCTGGCCAGGTACCATGACTCATTGCCTATAATCCTAGAACTTCGGGAGGCAGAGGCAGACAGATCACCTGGGGTCAGGAGTTTGAGACTAGCCTGGCCAACATGGTGAAACCCCATCTCTACTAAAAATACAAAATTAGCCGGGTGTGGTTTCGGGAGCCCGTAATCCCAGCTATTCAGGAAGGCTGAGGCACAAGAACCACTTGAACCCAAGAGGGAGAGGTTGCAGTGAGTTAAGATTGTGTCACTGCACTCCAGCCTGGGCAAAAAGAGGGAAACTCCATCTAAAAAAAAAAAACAAAAAGAGAATTTGTGTTGTGATGGATATGTACCCCTAACACAGAGCTAGGCGCAGTGCAGGGATTAAGTGAATGGTAGATCTGGTGATCCTTACCCCACTTGCCCAAATAATTTGAAGGGGGTAGCAAATATCCTAGATCTGGGGAAATTTTGATCTAGTGTATGACAGTGGATGCCTAAGTATAGACACATTCAAAATGGCAAAGCCAGGTGGGGTGCTCACTCCTGTAATCCCAGAACTTTGGGAGGCTGAGGCAGGTAGATCGCTTGAGCCCACGAGTTCAATGAAACCAGCCTGTGCAATAAAGTGAAACACTGTCTCTACAAAAAATTGCAAAAATTAGCCAGGCATAGTGCTGTATGCCTGTAATCACAGCTACTAGGGAGGCTGAGGTCGAGGCTGCAGTGAGCCATGATGGTGTCAGTATATTCCAGCCTGGGTGACAGAATGAGCTGAAAGAAGGAAAGAAAGGAAGGGAAGAAAGGAAGAAAGAAAGAAGGGAGGGAGGGAAGGAGAGAGAGAAAGGGAAGGAGGAAGGGAGGGAGAGGGAGAGAGAAAGAAGAAAGGAAGGAAGGAAGGAGGAAGGAAGGAAGGAAGGAGAGAGAAAGGGAGGGAGGAAGGGAAAGAGAAAGAGAAAGAAAAGGAAGAAAGAAGGGAGGGGGGAAGGAAGAGGGGAAGGAGGAAGAAAGGAGGCCGGGCGCGGTGGCTCACGCCTGTAATCCAAGCACTTTGGAGGCCAAGGCGGGCGGATCACCTGAGGTTGGGAGTTCAAGACCAGCCTGACCAACATGGTGAAACCCCATCTTAAAAAAAAAGAAAAAAAAAAGGAGGGAGAAAGGAGAGGGAGGAGAGAGAGAGAGGAAGAAAGGAAGGAAGAGAAAAAGAAAGAAAGAGAAAGAAAGCAGAAAGAAAGGGAAAGGAAGGAAGAAAGGGAGGGAAGGAAGGAAGGAAGGGAGAGAGGGAGGGAGGAAGGAGAGTGAGGAAGAGAGAAAGACAGGAAAGAGAAAGAGAGAGAAAGAAGAAAAAGACAAAGAGAGGGAGAAAGGGAGGGAGGGAGGGGAAAGGGGAACAGAGGGGAGGGGAGGAGAGGGAAAGGGAGGGGAGGGGAGGGGAGGGGAGAAGGAAATGGCCAAGCCTGTATGTGACTACCTTATGTGACTACCTTAAAGGGGATTGGTTGTGAGGATCAAATTAAATGAGTTAATGTGTGTTCATGTTTACCACCATACCTGCCACATAAGAAACACTATGTGAGTATGAGCTATTGTAATTATTATAGTCATCATATCTACAAGAGATTGGTATTATTTACTTGTCCTTGGAAGAGCCTGTGGGCATTTGTTATTTGCTGGTATTTAAATGTAAAATAGAATGTGACATTGTCCCTCTCTCTCCTAATAGAGTTTCCATGTATGAGATCATTGGAATTATACTGCCCCCATTTGTGACCATTGAGTGAAACTGGCAATTGCTCACATAGTAAAAGGGACACACACGGCCATGCAGCGGTGCTAGAAAACAAGGTCAAATTTTTTGAGAGTTCCTGACTGTCCAGGATTTTTTTTTAAAGCTTCTCTGTAGAATTTTCAGTACAAAAATAGGTGTGAACTGTGTGCACTTTGGAAAGGCATGAGTTGGCCGCTGTCGGACTAAGGCTGATAGTGTTCAGTGAGCCAAATTCCTGTTCGCTGATGTTTTGGGTTGGGCTGACCTTATGAACTGGATTTCATTTCAGATGGGTGTATTTTTCCTTATTGCAGATTTCCTTCAATTCATCAGCAGAGACTGTAGCCACTGTGCTGGGAGCTTGTGATCCTGGTTTGAACGGCCTATGAACTTGCCTTTCAACAAACGCTTATTTATTTTTTTGTAGTTTCTGCTTGGCACTGCCCACTTTCCCTCTGGGACACCATCTTAGTCTTCTGTCACCATCCTCTGCTTTTGTCCCCTATGAATCACTTCCTTTGGGTCACTTGAGACTTTTCTCCTGTAGAAGAATCTAATCTTCATTAACAACCAAGTTGAAAAATACCTTCCTAGATTACTGCTTTACCACTCATTCAATGATTCCTGGGCTCCATAACTTAAATGCAATTCACACATCCACTGCTCTGTTTATCCATATTATAAGGATTGCCATGGGTCTCAAAAGAGCACTGCATTTTCTAATATAATCTTCACTGTACCGCGAGTAAGCTGTGGCAGGCCTAGGTTGTTTTTTTTTTTTTTTTTTNTGGAAAAGGTGCCTAAATGTACATAGTATGGTAGACTAGATTCTCTTAAAATAACCTCTGAAATTTACATTGATAGTCCCTTTCATGCTTGAAATATTAGTGCTGATAGTTAACATATGAATTGTGCTGTAGATCTGACAGGCAATTTTTAAGATACAGTTTTCTGAAACCAGCCAATTATTTTGAATCTGAATTAAGTCGATAATTATTTTTTAAAAAACCAAACTGCAGTGGTAAAGATTAAACAAGCATGCAACCAACGCATAGCTCAGCATTACACGGCCCGCTTTACAATTTGTAAGTATATTACCAGTTTGTGCAGTTCCCATGGAAACCGTGTTAGTGATGAATTGAGAAACTTGCATTCAAAATTGCATTCAAAGTGGTCCAATCATGACATTTAGGAAAAAAAAATAGTGGATCTTTGATCTCCAAATACTAACGAGTGTTTTAAGATCCACCTAGATGAGGTTTTAATGAATTCATATGAATAAGGCTTCAGAATTTATCCAAGTTTGATTAAAATAGGATTTCCCCTCAAATATATGTTGTCTGTCAATTGGAAAATTGCCTGACGTTCCTGCCCTTAATCATTATGAGACTCCTAGAATACTGTGAACAAACCAATATTGAGCAACCAAGGCAAACTTAACCAAAGACTGATTAAAATAAACGACCAGGGGAAAAAAAGAAAACAAAAGCAAAATGACAGAAGTGGAAAAGGTACCCTCTCTAGCAGCTGTAAGCCCTTAGCAGGAGAAAAACAGTCCCTTTCATGGACAAGCGTGCTGGCAGTCCATTCCAAAAGAAAACTGTGGAATCGAATGTTTGGAATAGACTTATATCTTGAACGAACAATGGAAACAGAGTATAGAATGTCTGGTGTGGTAGAGAATCACCATGAGAGTGTTACTTTCAAAAATGACTGACTGAATATCAGCTCAGAAAAAAGAACACGGACCATCTATGGAAGATGTAGAGGATAATTTACGTCTACACTGAATTTTCTTAGAAAGAATTAAAGACAGAGGGCAAGAACAACTTGAAATTGTAAAACTTCAGCGGCACTGAGGAACATCTCGAAGAGTAGGCATTCCCTTTCACTTTCCTCGTGTGCCAGTTGCTCACACGCATGTAAATCACTACTGAAATGCAAACCGTACGAGAGTGTGAATGCACGCGTTCATACCATTTGCAAATTCTGGAATCTCATATCAAATATTTAGTAACCCAGATCTGGGATTGCTGGTATCCAACAGGTCACTTGTTTATCTTTAGTTTTATTTAGAGCTCTTGCACAACCCAAAAAGAAAAAAAAGAAAGAAACTGAAAACACCTAGAATAGTCCAATATTCAGTACTGCTCATGAGTGAGAGGTACTGTTTAGTAGCATAAATACTTCTGAAAAAGTCCACATCATAATGTCCTAAATTCTTTGTTTGGAGAAGAAAAACAACTCAAGTGATTTTCAGATTGAATATGCTGTTAAAATATACATGCTCTGGAAAAAAGAGGAAATTATTAAAAACTCAAGTAATTGAAACTTGAATATATTTACTCTAGAATATGACACCAGGAAGTATGAGGTTTCATTATTCTTCGGCCCAATTTAATCTTTGCCTACAGCTGTGATCAAATTGCATGTAGTGTATGTCTGCATGTATAGAACAGAAAAAAAAAAAGTCCTTGTGCAGCCGCATCAATAAAATAGTAAATGTTAAAAGACTTTTAACTTTGAGAACAGAAATTTCTAAGGAGCAAGACATCATGACTTCGTTGGGTGTTCACAGTAATTCAATTTCACCGAAAATCTCACTGCATAGCTTTCTGCTATGCTTTGACTTTAATTTAGGTCTAGTATCAAGATCTGCAGTGTTCCAAGCTCTCCCTGCAATGTCATCTCTCTCAGCTTCTCTTTCTTTTCTAGGTCCTGGCAAAAGGACACCATGAACTCTTTTTCTTAGAGCCAAAAAGTTTGCATTGGCACAGAGTCCAGCATGGGGGAGGCTTTCTGTTTTGAAGAAATAAATCATGAAATTAATATATACTGCAAGACACCCTGGAGGTGTTAGTTAATGATGTGACGCCCAGGGAAATGATCTGCAGAAACACCTAATATATATAAGTCCCATACCTCCTCTAGTGCTTTAAGTGGCTGAGCTGTCTAAAGAAATGACCCATTCTGCTGTCTCTGGCTGGAGAATCTCCTGAGTAATGCCTGTCTCTTAGGTGGGTTGCTTTAAAGAAGTTATAGGTGGATATTTCAGATGCTTACTGCTATGACAGAAACTCCAGCTGCTGTGCTATTCGGCTTGGGGCCTGTGTTGAAATGCTTCTTTATCTTTCCAGCTACTGACAGCTAATGTTCATTTTCTGGGAGGCCATCATCATTAACCCAGGGATGCAAGGACTTGAACAGCAGAAAATCGCCGATCTACATCGACCAACAGCATCATGGTAATGAGCTCCTTTGTAGAATCGGAAACATTATCCCAATATGGAGAAGGAAAGTCCACTTGCCCCATCAAAATCTGATCAAAAAGCACCTCCTGGTCATCACCACTTCCACGGAATGGAGGGAAACCACATAGCAGGATGTAAGTGATTACATCAGCTGCCCAGATGTCCACCTTGAGGCCATATCCAGTCTCTGCAATGATTTTTGGAGCCACGTAGTTTGGGGTGCCACAGACTGTGTACAGGGGGCCGTCTACAATGGTGACCAGTCCAAAGTCACCCAGCTTCAGTGATTTGCTGCCATGTTGGTGCTCATACACCAGCAGGCTCTCTGGCTTGATATCCCGGTGGACGATGTTCAGGCTGTGCAGGTATTTGATGGCACTGGCTAGGTTGTACAGCATCCCACTGATGTCTCTCTTGGTGTATATGTTAGTGGAAGTAATGGCATCAAAAAGGTCTCCCCGCTTTACTAATTCCATGACAAGGTACAGTTCAGTTGGCACATCCATCTTCTCAATCAGAAGAACGATATTGAGATGCTTCACTCTTCTTAAAATAGATACTTCATTCTGGATCATGTGCTCTTTGCCTCGACATTTGCTTTTCTTGATAATTTTCAGAGCATGCTCTCTAGCAGTCGATCATTCTACACACTCCTTGACAACAGCAAAATTTCCATCCTATTGTTCTTCCAATTTCATATCGTTCTGTGATTGTAGCTGGAATCTGGAAGCCTTCCTCCTACACTTCTCCAGGGCTGTCGTTCTCATCCATCGAGTTGCAGACTTTGGTGAATGCAAGTGAAGTAGAGGAGCCGCCATGCTGAGAGCTCTTCTGCTTCCGCAGGCTTCCTGGGCTGGTGGGTGACGGGCTTGGCGACTTGCCTGTACGCGGAGTAGAGAGCTGACTACCAGGGGTTCCATTAACTTCTATGAGTTCTAACATGGACACAGTCTTAGTGTTGGACCTGACAATAGCAAGGGCGGAGTCCCTTGTCAGCACTAAGCCAAGCACCCGCAGAAACAGGAAACAGTTGGATGAGTTTAAGGATGGCTAAGGCTGCTCCCAGAGCAGGCTGAATGAGATCAGGCCTAGGTTTTATACATGGCGCTATCTGCTGCCCTAGAGAACTCACTTTTCTCTGGATTTTCCTATCCACAAATGTCTATTTTACTTATTTATCTATACCCTATCTTCTTACAAGAAAAGTCTAAGGCCAGGGCCGGGCGTGGTGGCTCAAGCCTGTAATCCCAGCACTTTGGGAGGCCGAGGCGGGTGGATCACGAGGTCAAGAGATCGAGACCATCCTGGTCAATATGGTGAAACCCCGTCTCTGCTAAAAAAATACAAAAAATTAGCTGGGCATGGTGGCACGTGCCTGTAATCCCAGCTACTAAGGAGGCTGAGGCAGGAGAATTGCCTGAACCCAGGAGGTGGAGCTTGCGGT